ACAGGTTAAAAATGTATTTATTATACTTTTTCACCTTATAATTGGTATATTAAAAAAAAAAACAAAAATTGACTTTAGTTTTGTTAATGGAACAATTAAAATGTTTTATATGGCATTAGTGTTGAAAATAAAGTTTATTTTTATAATTTTTAATACAAATTAATGATAAACAAATACAATATATACATCTAGCACAACTTAAAAAAGCTCATATTTTAATAAAAATTGGTCAACTTGGTTTTTTAATTTATTTTAAAAAATAAACAAAGCAAGCGATGAGCATGCTGAATAAGGGAATGTTTGGGATTGTTGTGAGATGCTACAATTGTAGTTATAGTTGCAACTGTGTTTAACTGTGCTATATTATAACTATGACTGAAAGTTATTTTGATGTTTGGTCATTTATTTCTTAAAAGAATTGTAGATGGCATATGGTAAATTTTTTTTGTAACAATTTAGGTTTTTTAGGTTTTATATAATGGGTGTTCTTTTGGGTTTTGCAAGGGAGTAGTAGGAATAAGTTTTTAATTTTTTTATAGAATTTGTAAATAAACAGAAGGTTAGGTTTAAATAAAATATTATAGATTATGGTGCAATTGAATTAAATGAGGTTGGATTTAATGATCAATTTTTTTATTATATTAAATATTAAATATTAGGTGTTGTCCATGAAAGTATAATCAGTAAGTTCTAAAATGAAACTTTTATTTTTATATATTAAATTGCTATCGATCTGCTGTGGCATTTAATACCTTTTAGAAAAAATAGTCTGAAAAAAAAAGTTAGCAAACATATATATATCCAAAAACTCTACACAACCACAAGAGAAAAACCCAACTACAATCCCAAAAGCACACTAAATCCAAAATTGAAATTGAATTCATAGTGTCCACATAAATGTAAAAATCTTTGGTGGGAACCAAATTTTATTTACTGAAGGAGTCTCCTAATCCTCCTGCAAAATTCTCTTAAATAAGTCACACAAGTATACAATTGAATATCTAGCATAAGTTCTTAATTATAGGAATAGAAGTTCTTGAAACATGAAATGACACACAAGGATTTGATAAAGTTCACAACATAGCATAGTCATTGCAAATTATACAGCTTAGAATCAAGGTTGTATAAATAAAAGGGTATGCATAGCAACCTAGAGTTCATTTTGGAGAAACATTTGCTTTGATAGCTAGGCATGACATAATAAGGCTTCTCTTGGCCTTAACTGCCTAAAAGAAATGGAAAGTTTATCATTTAAATGTCAAATCTACTTTTTTAAATGGGATTTTGGAATAAGAGTTTTATGTTGAACAACCAGAAGGTTTTCTAGTTCAAGGCTACAAAGATCATGTTTATAGGCTGCATAAAGCTCTATATGGCCTGAAACAAGCCCTCGAGCTTGGTGTAGTAGGATTGATTCCTACTTAACAGAACAAGGATTTCAAAGAAGTCAAATTGAATTCACTTTTTATGTTAAGGGTGGAAATGCTAATTCTTAGCTACTGGTCTCTCTATATGTTGATGATTTTTTGGTGATTGGAGGAGACATTGAACTCCTTCAAAAATTCAAGGCTTCCATGCAAAATGAATTTGAAATGATAGATTTGGGAGAGATGAAATACTTTTTGGGAATGGAGGTGATGCAATGTTGTAGTAGAATCTTTGTTTCACAAGAAAAATATGCCAAGGACATTCTTAGGAAGTTCAAAATGGATAAATGCAAGCCAACTGCTACTCCTCTTACACAAAATTTGAAATTTTCTAAGGATGATGACAACTGGAAGTGTAATGCTTCAGTTTACAGAAGTTTGGTTTGGGAGTTTGCTTTATCTTAACAACAACAAGGCTTGATCTTATGTTTGCTACCAGTTTACTATCGAGGTGCATGACTTCACTATTTCAAACTCGTTTTAGTGCTGCTAAAAGAGTTTTGAGATATGTAAATGGAATTGTTGATTATGGAATTTAGTATGAGTTTGCAAGTGATGGTTCTTTGCAAGGCTATGTGGATAGTGATTGGGCAAGACGTCTTGATGACTCAAAGAGCACTACATGATATGTTTTCTCATTTGGTTTAGGGATGTTTTGCTAGAATTCATCCAAGCAGGATTATGTGGCACAATCTACAACAGAAGCAAAATATATTGCCACTAGAGCTACCCTCATATCATACTATATGATTGAGAAAAATACTGAATGACATGGGATAACCTTAAGTCCAACCATGTGTAATTTAAATTGTAATGAATTTTTTAGGTGGGATTCCCTAGTTTAGGGGAAGCTTATAGTTCGAGGGATGAGGAGCTTGATCAGGATATGGGATTAACAACCCCCAATTTTGTCTTTCCAAAAGTAACATCTTTAGATCTTCAGTGGCTACCCAATCTCAAGAGTTTCTACCCTCAAATATATACTACAGAATGGCCATCATTGAAAAAATTGAATGTGAGTGGATGTGATAAATTGCAGATACTAGCTTCAGAACTTCCGAGAACAAGTGGAGAGAAACAACTTGAAATCCAAATTGAACGCCCTCTATTCTGGGTCAGTAAGGTATAAACATCTATGACATTTTAAATTGAATATATTTTACTAATGTATGTTTAAAAAATGGACGGAAAAGTGGAAAGCTATGAGAATTTACTCAATAGCATTAGGGTTTTTGAATCTCCATTTTGCCAAATGAGCAGA